ACCACTTGCCAACCTTCTAGAAGGACTGCAGCTGGACTTCTACTCTACAGGTCTATGGATCAAATCCTGGCTACCTAAAGACCTACGACAGACCTACTTACCACTGGCGGCCCTACAGGTCGCAGGTTCAATTCTTCAAGTTGTCACAGATATTGTTCACAGGTAAGTTGGGGAACTAGGGATCGAACCCTGGGTCCTGCATCAGCTACTTCGAACTGGTGAATACCGTTTCAGTTATACGTGTGCAGTATACCATTCAGCTATCATGCAGGTTCCTGTGAAACTTACTACAAAACTGTGTTACCAACCGGGCCGCCGGGGTCACCTTGGTTGCCTGGCAAGGGCCAGGGAAGGTCCCTGAAAAAAAAAAAAAAAAAAAAAAAAAAAAAAAAGATCTGGAAAGAAACTATGTTGTGCAGAAAAAAAATTGACAAGAAACTTGAAGAAACTTCAAGAAAGTGAATAACTTTTGCTTCAGGGTCACATCCATTTTTTTGCCAAATAAAAAATAAAAAATAAAATTAATTCATTTTGATTTTTATTAATATTTTGTTCTCCTTTCCCCACCCCGTCTTCTTGGGCCACTCAACTGCAGATGTACAGAAAGCATACCCTAGGGCAGAGAAGTACGCGATTGCATCATCATTAGCAGCACCTGCATATACAACTTGGCCTGATGCAAGTAAAATGACGTCATCAAACATGTCGTATATCGCTCCACGTGGCTGATGGATGGAGCAGATGACTGTATGGCCATCCCTGGCAAGACCCCGCAGCGCCTCCATGACTGTCTTCGCTTGGAAGGCATCAAGTCCTGTACATACGGACACGGACGGGAAAGGACAGTGACTCGGTGAGGGAACTTGCTGACTGGTTCCAGAGCTCTACCACTTACTCTTCCTTCATTTGCTTTTCTTCCTTTTTCAAACATGATTCTAGCGTCTAGACTCATAGTACTTTCCCATCTGCTTTCGAGAAAGATATAGTTTTGCTTTTCATTTGAAACATCGGTTAAAATTGGAATGATACAGAGAAAGAAGATTAGCATGGCCCGTGCGCAAGGAGGACACAAATAAATCGAGAAGTGAGTCCAAATCGATGGCTACGCCCGACTGGACACCAGACCGATCTAGACATCCGTAACACTGAAAAGTGCATTCGGTTTTTTTTTTTTTTTTTTTTTTTTTTTGGCCCTTTTTAATTATTGGTCAAGGTCTCCGTGTGCCAAGTTTGGTGTTTGTTGAGGGCTTGGAGATAACTGTTTTCGCCAGCCCTGAAAATCCTGAAAAGACTCAAAAGAGTGAAAACACTGAAAAGACTCAAAAGAGTGAATTTTGCATGAAAACACACTTTTGCCTTGGGGTTTTAGGCCCCTTTGATCGATTTTTTGGGTGTCCACTCGATGGATTGGTGACAAATCTGGCTTAACAGGTGTGGGACGTTTTTGTTATAATGCCCTGAAAAAAAAACTCCTGAAAATTTAGGGCTCTGTTAACCTGACCCTGAAAAAAACCTCCTGAAAATTTAGGGCTCTGTTAACCTGACCCTGAAAAAACCCTCCTGAAAATTTAGGGCTCTGTTAACCTCTTCTCCACAAGCCCGCCTGGATGGGTCCAGACCGTCCAGATTGTGCGCCCCCTCCCCACCAAAAGGTCCAAAACAAAACAAAACAAAAAAAAAATCTTTTTTCATATTTTCCCTCTTATTTGGCCACGAATTTTGAGACGGTCCTCAGCCAAAATATTTTTCTATTGCAATGCTTTTTTTGAATTTTTTCAGATTCTTTTTTTTTTTTCTCCTTAAACATATATATCGTAATTTAGATTCTTTTTGTTTTGTAACTTTGTTTTTTAAGTCCGGTTTTTTCTTTTTCAGGGGGGGAGAGGTGGAGGCCGGACGATCCAGACCAGCCACGGCCCCGTACATCTGGACCCAGACCATCTGCATTGGGATCCAGATGTCCGGATCATACCCATGGTCCAGATTGGGAACAAGAAAAACAAAAGTAGTTTTCCATACCTGATTCCTCACCACCCAGTAATTTGTGCCACAAAAAAAGTCAGTGCTTCTGTTTGCAATTTTCCGGCTCATTCATTCCTAGGCTTTTCAGGCCCACCGCAACTGCGATCCCTCTGCTGAAGAAGTTTGAAGCTGCCATCTTCCCCCAAACACCACAATGCACCCTCATCATCATGAATGTAATGTGATGTATACAGGCACCGTTCCCAGTCTGATACAACAATCATGCTGAGGGTGTGTTGTGTTGGTGTGAAGGCGGTCGTTTGGGCCCCGCTGTTTTCACAACCAGGCAGGTTCTCGCTCCTAAAAGCTCAAACCAGTTATCTTTGTTTCTTCTTAGCACATTCATAGATACCACTGGTGGGGTGTGACCACAGCCTGCACAGGAAACTACCGTCTTCCCCCCGACATAGCGCACATGCGTTGCAAAACCTTGCAAATGAATATACAACCCATAAGGTTGTGTATACTATTCAAATCATACTTGCAAGCGGACGCCGTCTGGGCGGTTCCGCACATGCGGCAGACCGCCGGACCGGACCCGTGCGGCGCACGAATGTGTGCCCGACGACCAGTTACGCCCCMCCCCCCCCCCAAAAAAAAAAAAAATGGCCCTGTCCGGGTCCGTCTGGTCCGGAGGGAGGGTGCCGCACGCGGCAAAGCGGACCGGACCGGACGCTCGTCCGGTCCGTCTGCTTGCAAGTATGATTCAAATACAATGCATGCATATTTTCTATTCGAATATCCCTACTATTCAAATACAACTCACAAATGCGTTCTGTTGGTGGAATCATCAATTTCGTTTCGGAAACCCGAATGCAACGCATATTCGTCATGTTCCGGGCCAGACGGTTCTAGGACGCATGTGCAGCAACACAAAAAAAGAGGGGGGTTCATACCTAGGTTTGTGATCATATAGCTCATTACTGTTGACTGTTGCAGAGAGCTGTATCGGAATATAAGTCATGAGCTGAGTGTGTTTGCATATGTGTGAAGGACGGATGTCGTCAACAGGTGGTCGGTTCATTAATTGGCGGTTACTTAGGAGTCCGGACAGCACATGACTGAAATGAACAGGTGGTCTGTCACGTACTTTAACATGCATTGGGGGGAAATGCTGGAGCACTGGAAAGCAAACATCAGTTCAGAACAAAATCGACACGTCAGCAGCTGACATGAATATGAACTGCAACACTGCAGCAACAGTGATATTTAGCAAGACCCAATCAAAAATGGCATTTCTGGCTGCTCACAGCATAAGCCTCCAGAGTCCAGAGTCCAGATCGAGCAACGAAGGCAACCAAACCATAGAAAAATTTCCCAAGGACAACCACCACCGAGCACAGGGAGGGAAACATAAGTTCAGAGCCACATTGACAAGTCAGCGCATCGATATTGACTGCAGCAGCGATATTTAGCAAGCCAATCACCGAGCCCGTTTCGGACTACCCACAGAACACCCGACAACCCCATACCATACCAGAAACACTCAGGAAAGAATAACATTTTCGCTTTATCTCACTTTTTACCCCAGTGCAAGGAACCTGACTGTTCACAGCTTGCTCGAGTGCATCAAACCGCATGCATACATGTCATCACACGTATAAAGTGGTCTCACACAAAACCAGATTGAGATGAGATAAGAACCAAGTAGCGCAGCTTATATTATCATTGTCACTTAATACAAAGAGTATCATGAGTTCCAGAGTTCAGTGCCAACAAGAGGTAAGTCTCCCTCATCATACAACAGCGTGGAACCTGGCTCAGCCAGCGTTCTCCTTCAGATCACAAGTGTGGCGCCAACAGGTAAGCGTCCACCATATCCAGACTCACTCCCTGTCTTCTCTCTCTTCTTCTCTCAATAACTTTGTCTTGGTTCTCTTCCCTTCACTATGCATGCACACTCTCACCTATGAAGATCTACTCTGAATGTCACTCACTGATATCCCACTACTAACTAGCCCTACCACTACTAACATAGGCTGGCGCAGCTATGGCTTCCCTGCAGCCAGCGCCCAGCCTCATTTCCTCCCTGGCGCAGCTTCTTCTTCAGCGCCCGACTCCCTGCACTTTAGCGCACAAGTGCCTCAGCACTTCCACACATCAATGCCAATGGGAATCTGCCTGTGGGGGAGGCTGCCTCGTTTCTTATAGTGCTGGCCTCCCCTGGCGAGGTCTGAATTCTGCCTGTCCTGGTCCTTTCCCAGTCCCAGCCTCTGTGTATGTGTCCCAGATCCCTTTCCTTCAGGGGTTGCTGCTGCTGCAGCCCTCAGGCCTTGATTTCGGACTCCCAATCTGAATCTAGACTTTCTTTCTGACTTGAATCCGGACTGGAACTTAACTCTTTGACTTCTGCTGGACAGACACACCCAATGCACGAACAGACACTCTTCCTGCACGAACAGACACATTGACTGCACGTACAGACACATCCCTTGTTGGAATAGACATGACTTGCATTGCCCCTGGCGAACAGATGTGACCTTCAAATCTAAACATGGTGACTGTTCGTCTAGGGCCCAACAATGACCTTTGACATTGTCTTTACTTTAGCCAGGATGTGACCTCTGACCCAGAGAACATGTCTTTTGATCTGCTTTCACGAATTGGGCTCTGGGCGAGGGACCCCAATATGCTGCTTTCGTCGATCAGGGGCTGAATTGGGTAAAGGCCCTTTTACCAGAGAAAGATCCTTTCTTCTAAACTACTATACTCTGTAATTATTACTAGCATTTGTACTATCTTAGTATCTTGTAGAAATTTTGTACAGATTTGCTAGCAAAGATTATGATTTCAGTGCATCATTTCACACAAATTCGCAGTGACATGATGCATGAAACAACAACAAATGCCTGCATCAGCGAGATGGCGTCCTCCACTTCCTGCCAAAAAAACAAACCCCTGAAATCAAACTTTGAATCTTTGATAGGCATGCGCTGCTAGATCCACAGAGGCCATACCCAGCAAAGCAAGCCGAGGGTGGTGAGAAAAAGGTGGTGGAACAGGGCTTACTAGAATGACATCCAGGACATCATTCTAGTAAGCCAAAAAAAACTTGCTGGACCCAGTCCATGAGGCTGGCTGCACAGTACACCCATGCAGCTGTTGTTAAACAGACGTGACGCGAGTTCAAAGCCTAACATAATCAGATGGATCATGGAAGCTCAGTCCAACACACAATTGTCAGCCGTCCATTGACAACAAGGTGAACCTCTTGTTTTCCTTCTCTCAATGAGGTCTATCCTCTTCTTTTTTTTTTGCCTTATTTTTTGAAAAAAAAAAGAAACAAAGAAATAAATGGAGGATAGACCTCATTTTTATTTCTTTGTTTCTTATTTTTTCAAAAAATAAGGAAAAAAAAAAAGAAGAGGATAGACCTCATTGAGAGAAAGAAAACAAGAGGTTCACCTTGTTGTCAATGGACGGCTGACAATTGTGTGTTGGACTGAGCTTCCATGATCCATCTGATTACGTTAGGCTTTGAACTCGCGTCACGTCTGTTTAACAACAGCCGCATGGGTGTACCGTTCAGCCAGCATCATGGACTGGGTCCAGCAAGTTTTTTTTGGCTTAGGACTGGCCAAATCCAGTGATCTCCTTTCACGACAGGCTATGGTCCCCGGAATGAGTTCGTCATTGCAGGTGTCTTTCATGCATGCTCCACGCTACAGGTAAAAAACAGATATATGTAACCATGGGATGTAAGCAACTTAGGTTGCAACACGGAGGCCCTATAGTAGCTGGGGAGGGAAACCAACCCTTACAGGCAGCGAAGAGGGTCAGTCAGATTCCGCAGACGAACAAGAGCCTTCCTCCTGTAACTCCACTGTTTCCAGTTATTTCCACCCCGGCAAGTGGACACAACAGCCTCAAGCAGCACCATCCAGGGGGTACCAGCCCTAAAATCCTTAGACAAGGGGCTGCAGTCTCCATGTGGCAACGCATAGGGCCTTGCTGGCCCTTTTTTCAAGTCTTTGGGCATGTAAGCATTTCAAAAAGGTCATTCCAGGTGAATTTATGTGTGCGTGCTGGCTACACTGGGGCACCATTTGAAAAAGGTCCTTCCAACTCTCCGAAACAAGGACAGGTGCGCTCGAAGATAATCTTCATTTTTTGTTGAGACATGCTGCACAGCTGACGTGGTAAGCTCAGGCAGAGACCTGGGGAGATCAACACCATGCAATCACGGTCATTGGTATCGCACGGCAGATGGGGCAGCACATAATTCGGCCGGTGTGCCGTAAAGAGTATTACCGACCATAGGGATGGCGACCGTAGCCTTCGTCAAGAGACAAACTGAAGAGAGGATCAGTACTACACACACATATACAGTGTTATACACCCACTGGATGAACTACCAGTACATCAAAGAACAAAAGAACTGACGACACTTTCAGGACTTCAAAGGCCATTCCGGTTTGAATTCCAGACTACTAAAAAAACTGACGACGCGTTCAGGACTTCAAAGAAAGAGGAAAAAAAAATGTTGACTGTGAGAGAAGAGCTACCCCGCTAGGTAAGGTAAGGATATCATTGCACCTGTTGTAGGTTCATCTGCAAAGACAACGGAAGGGGCTGCAATCAGCTCACACGCAATGGACAGTCGCTTCCTCTCACCACCACTTATACCCCTTGTCTTCTCATCTCCAACTATTGTGTCTGCTACGCCGGTCTGATTGGTGTCACAACAGATTGGGGAGACAAACACCCAGATGAATGAACAAACGGAGAAGCAGACAGGACGAAAAACAAACACACAGAAAGACGAACATGTGAGATCGTTTGGTTCCCATAAAAGTCGCATCCTTCCTTAAGAATCGTCCTCAAAGGATAGGCCAAGAAAGAGCGCGCATGAGGGTCAGCAGAGAGCCTAACGGGGAGGGAGAGGGAGAGGCAATGCAAGAACAAGGGAGGAAGATGGAGACACAGGCTCTAACAAACACCTTGCTTGCTTTGTTGTTCGGTTGTTTGCAGGATACCGAAGCATGGCAGCAATACTGTGAAGAAGCACTTCGACGACTTGGGGCCCAGCAGTGTGTGTGTGTGTGTGTTGTTAAAGCACCCCAAATTCTCTCTTTCTCATTTCTTCCACAAATCATAACAAACCATTCATAACCAAAAAGCATAGAATTTGTGTGTGTGTGTGTGTGTGTGTGTGTGTGTGTGTGTGTGTGTGTGTGTGTGTGTTAGATTTTCCCCACATATTTTCTTTTTTTTTTTCTTTTTGTTTTCCTGCTCATCCAGACAACCGGACATGACCCTGCCCAACCGGACCATCCGCGTCCATATGTCCATTTGTCCAGTTCGATATCCGGTTAACCGGACGTCCGGTTACATCCAGACACGGCCCGGCGTCAGGATGTCTGGATGTCTGGGTCCGGGGCAACCATGTCGGACACAGGTGGATATTGAGAGATCGAGGATTCAGCATGGACTGATTTGACAAGCATGAAGGGTCATGAGCTACCACATCTCCTCTCTGAACACCTTCCCTCATCACCTCCCTCCCTGCCTCTCCCCCTTCCCCTCACCCCATCCTCCTTCCCTGCCTCCCTCTCTATAACTCGCCGCCACGGTTTGAACTCCAGCCCTCCATGTACAATCTGTTCTTCAGAAGACATCTTGTTTGCAAGATTACTTTTCCGGCCGTCAGGACTTTCCTCCTTCTCTCCCTCCTTCTCTATAACTCGCCACAACTCAAGCTCTGAACCCCCAAACCCAAATACAGTATGTTTCTCAGATGATGGCCTGTTTGCAACTTACTTCTCAGGCCTCAGGACTTTCCTTCAAATGGTTAATCTTTCGAAGTTTTTTTTTTTTTCTTTTTTTTTTCAAAAACAGGGCCTTATGGTCCTGGCTTCTATCCATTCTGGGGAGCATCAGTCCGGTTCCTATTCCACCGGCAAGTCAGAATAAACAATACAACCAATAAACACACACGCTTCCTCCCGTCTGGCCGAAGGACCCCTGAACAGCATTGATTACTCCAGACTGCTGGAGGATTGACTGCCAGCTTGCCATGCTTCCCTCTTACCTCTCGGATCTATTCACTAGATCTGCCAGATATAACCGTAGCAGCAAGAAAGAGGTTAACCATTATCCAGGCTAACCCTTAGGTCTCCTACTTCGACTTCACCCCTATGTCTCATTACCCCCTTATCCTCCTCATCCCCCGTTACCGAAGTGGCATCCAGTTCTAAACCCTGAACCCCAAACCCTCGTCATATAAATGAGTTTTCTGAGCCCACTAAACCGCCAACACGTCCCCTCGAACCAGTTTCCAGGGGTCCCTGACCTCCTTGCCACTGTTGGCTCAAATGGACCACAGTTCCCTTTTTTAGAACAAAATTTTGTTATTCTGAACCCTATTTGCCCCTTTTTCATTTCCGTTTCATCTCCTTCTTGGCTGGGCTCACTTTAATTCTTATGGTAGCCTAAGTTCCTGTATCGACCGCTGAACATCTATAGTGTCGTCCTGGTGCTCCTCTTTGAACCAATGAAAGATAAGTCTTTCCCCTTCAACAGTCACGACTTTGCCTTTGGCTAATACCCTCTTGTGAAATTTAGATAAGGTATCCTTTGCCTTTTCTGGGTTAAGCGCCAATTGCTTCTTTATTCTTCTCCACAATGCCCTAATCTCTGTCTCCAATAAGTTATAGAGAATTGCCTTGGCTTCCCTTCTTGTCACCAGAGTCTTACCCACCACCTGTTGACATGTTCGTTTCCAGATTGTCCATAGAGTGTACTGTCTCAGGAGTTGAAAGATATATTTGTGGCCTGATCTCCATCCTTTAGGCAACTCACTTCCAATCAATATTAGTTTTTTGTTACTTGGAAAGGGGGCGTCCGTAGTATGTGCCCATAATGCCCTGGATATGGATGTTCTGCTTCCGGGCAATAGAGCAAACAATGGATCAGAGTTTCCGACACCCCTCCCGTACACATAACACAGTCCTGATCCGCCTCATTCCTATTGATCCTGTTTCTCTTATTGAATAACCAAACATTGACTGGGAGTGCTACGTGAAAGATAAGCCACTGCATACTCCTGACCYTAGGTAGTCTGATGCTGTGCAAAGTTGACCATGGTAACTTTTCTACCTGGTCCCTAGGTATATCCATTCTATTCTCCCATCTTCTTGCCAAAATCTGGTCCAACTGGCGTGATCTCCCCCTCAGACGGTAGCCCACTTTAGTGGTGTACTGAAGTATATTGATTCTTTTTTTTTTCTTTTTTTTTTTTAATCTGGCTCCATTCTATTGGTGGGGAGCTGCACCTGCTGGAAACCGGGTCCAGCGTCCCTTACATACAATATACTGAACCATGGATCAAGGAGAGATGTGGCAAAAAGAGAGAGAGCTGCCTCTTCGGTCAGAATCTGGCCGCCAGATACTTATTTAAATGCTAGCAGCGCCCAATCTCAAAAACCCATCCCGTTCTGCCTAATCCAAACACAGATATTTGCTGTCATAATGGAGAGAATAAAATCTTGTTATCCCTCCCCCCCTCCAAACCAATGAAGATCCACCAAAGCAAGCTCAGAAGGAGGAAAGAGATCTGGAAATGCTTTTGGGGACCTCAAAGTAGCTCCTGCCTGCACCTCAAACAAGTCCTGGAAGGTGATCTCACAATCTCTTTTGAAATTCATCCCATCTTCTTCCCCTGCTGGCCATTCTACCTTTCCCAGTCTTTCTCTTGAGGAGTCACCCAGCCAGTCCTTTGTAAAAGTTTGAATTCATTTCTTAATGTCCTGTTTTTGTTGTAGTATGTGAAGTCCAGATTTAATCTTGTCCCATCGGGATCTTATTTTTGTTTCAATGAATTGTCAAACAAGCTCAGACATTTCCTTTCCCTCAATCCTTACCTTTTCCATTGTCAATATACATCTTTTATACCATAGTGCCCATAAAATGGCCTTTCTACCAATGTTAAATAAATTTTGTTGAAAACCGTAGTGCCCATAAAATGGCCTTTCTACCAATGTTAAATAAATTTTGTTGAAAGGTTGAAAGGGAAATGAGTACCGAACACCAATGCCCCAGGAGGATCGCCCGTGAGTCCCAAGGCCAGTCTAAGCCTGTCAATTTGTTCCATACATGATCCCAACGCCTCCATAACAATTTTGCCCCCGGACATTCAAAAAAATGTGTTCGATTGTCTCTCTAATCCTCCTACTAGGAAAGGCTTCCACACATGTACAACACCACGGTAGAGCTACACCCCTCTGTTCCAGCGTGGTATGGTCAATCAACCAGTCATTTGTTGGTAAACATCGATGGATAATCTGCCATTGCAGTGATACAAATTTAGCTGGTTTGTCTTTGAAAGCTTGACACCACTTGATTGGCCTGAGCAAATCTGTGTATATATTTAAATGTTGGACCCATCGTTCCCGTATTATGTCAAGAACATCAAGCTTTGGACGTAACAGGCGATACGAGGCTTTGACTGATAAAGACTGTAATTTCTGAGCCTTGGCTCTTCTGTTGGTGCGCCAGGTCCATTCTGCTGGATCCAGAGGGAGGTCCTGTAGGGGAATGTTCAGGGCATACACAGTCCATCCTTTAGATATTGGACAATACGAAGCTCTCACTCTGTAGAGTGAGTCAAAATGTAAAAACTCCACCTTATCCTGATTATCTTGCGATAGAGAGAAGTCCTTATGGAGTGCAAAGATGTTTACTAGGGCGCCATCCGTGTGGATATCCAGAATTTGTCCCACTACCCTGGAACCTGTCGTTAGATGAGCACACACCCAATCTGCAACCAAGAAAGTAGGTCCCTTTCTCCGGGCGGCTACCCAGACCAAAGGAAAGGATGAAATCATTAAATCAAGGTTCTCAGCTAGATTGTGTGCATACTTAATTTCCTTTCTCAATTGATTTACTGATTTCCAATTTTTGTTTTCCGGGTCCCATAAATCCTTGATCCTTACTACACCATGCTTAACCCAAGTGGACCACGGGGATGTGGAACTGATGAACACTCTTCCTTGTGCATCCGTGATCCATCTATTGCCAAAAATTGGTTGACGTAGGACTTCCTCATACCTAGAAGGAATTGCTTAACCCAAGGCAGATTTCGCCAAGTTCTCAATAGGGTAGCCCAATAACTGTCTAAAACCAGATCCCTTCTTACTACCCCTCCATCCCCCTCCTTTTGAGATTGTGATTGTGGTCGAGGAATGGACCAGTATCTATCCTCAACCCAAATCAGTGGATTGACATCTTTTGTAGTTTGTGGAGCCATTCTGCGTATTTGTTCCAGTGCCAATGCTTGCCATATTAGATCCGTGGCCAATATTAGTCGTTTTAGCCATTGGAGAGCTAGTGCTTGGCACTGGATTGAAGGATCCAAAATGCCTAGTTCTCCTTTGGACTTCGGCTGGATAAGAACCTTCCAAGCCGCTCTAGGGTTTACATGTGTCATTTCATGATCTCCACGCCACAAGAAAGCCGTGAGTTGCCTCCTAAGTTCGTTGACCGATCCATTACTTATTGACCACAAAGCAGATTTGTACCAGATAGAAGCCAAGATTACATTATTGATAACCAGAGCCCTACCAAATAGTGAAGTGTGTTGATTTTTCCATTGCTTCATTTTTTGTATAGCTGGGGAAGTGATCCATACATCATTAGAATTAGGCTTCCCCCTAGCTGTGAGTACCACTCCCAAAACCCTGATTGGAGCCTCTAATGGTATCCATTTTACCCTAGGATTCTCAGGAGGCCTATCCCCTTGAGAGTGAATCCACCATCCCTGTGTCTCACTCCCCCAATTGACCACCATATCTGAAAAAAGGGACAACTTATCCATTAGTGCTTTTATTTCTTCCATATTCTCCTTGGATGCCTCCATCATTATGGTTAGATCATCGGCAAACATGGAGCAAATTGGTACAGCCTCTTCCGGTATTCCTGTAATCTGAAGTCTTTTAAGGTTCTGGTTAAGTCTTTCCTATGACATGCTAAATTGGTTCATGACTCATAAGCCCTCATTTTCTTTCATTTTTTGCAGTGACCCTTTTCAGACATTGTGGCTCGCGAATTCCCCTCTGCGTTCTCCAGTCTGTTGGCCCCACCATTTTGGGAATGTGAGGGCATACTCATGCCCGAACTTTTCAACTGCTGAATCTGGTCATACCTGCAGTCACGTAGATTAGTGACTGCAAGCATGACATGAGTTAGGCCTTCGAGTATTTAACACCGTCGTTTCATCCCGGAATTCATGTTGAGTTCGTTGTCTCAAGTTACCAAATCACTTGTCCTGCTGGAACCCAAGCCCAGTTTGGGCTCAGTCCAGGATCCCTCAACACATTAGTTATGGGCATTATTATAGCTGTATCTAGCCCAAAAATGCCCTAAATACAGCCATAATGACCGTGCATTGCGTTCACGACAAGTTGGTTGGTAGCCCAATTCGGCTGCCGCAACCCTGAGCTTCCCCCACAATACTCCCAGTCCTGCTTCATCAAGCCTGTTTGTTTGCATTGCGTCTATCCACCTCTCGAGATCTCTCTCCCCAGGCCAGTAATAGTTCCCCGCCTCCTCTTCCCTCCCCGCCTCCTCTTCCCTCCCTCCCTCCCTCCCTCCCATCCTCCCATACATTTTTACTCCCCTACTTCCAGACTGCCTTTGTGTTTGTTCTCCCTGTTGTTCTTTACTCCCTTACCAGACCGAGATGCTGCATCAGGCTCTCAATGTGTCTTTCTTTCTCCTCCTCTGTCATTGTCCTTGGCAGCTGCAACTTTGCCGCCATCATCAATGTCTCCCTCACAGTCAGCTGAGAGTAAAAGATATCATCCTGCCTGACAAACGCTTGCCTGCCATACCACATGCAGTTTCAAAAGGAAAATCAATTTGCGGACGTGTCAAAGCATGCATGCATGCATGCATCTAGTTGGTAGTTGTTTGAGGATGTAGGTAAAACACACATCTTCTGGGAAAGCTTCTTCTCAACCTGGTGGTCGACGTGGCGATAGATCAGACACAAAGTGTCTGCTGCTGAAAGGTTTCCTCAAAGGGAATGGGCCACACATCATTAATCAGTGCAAAGACTCAAGCTCGTCGAGAAAGGTAATCACTCGTTGAAGTGAAATAAACAACCGAAAAAGAAAAAGAAAAAAAAAACTAAAAGTCATTTGTTTAAGTAACACAGAATGCACAATCAACGACTTGTTGATAAGTGGCCTTGTCGATTCTGAAGCAAGGCACGTGAAATTTGTGATTCGTATTGCGGCACACGATTTTGGATGCATCATGCATGAGTGATTGTCGCGTAGAGGTCATAATGTTCAGTCATCTCTTTCTCTCTCTCTCTCTCTCTTTCTCTTTCCTTGAAGAAAGAAAAAAAAATTGCCTTGAACCACCAGTTTGCTACAAGTCTATGTAGTATGTACACATCTGACATTTTACTAATCCAGTGAGAGTTACCCGATGCAGGGAGGCTGGTACATGGAAAGTGCGGCCACTGCATGCACCAGCAGAAGCATAGCTAGGCCCGCCGCAAACTGATGGGTTAAGAGGATTTTGGAGACTTGCATTCATGGCCCGCCGCCCTTTTCCCTACGGAGAGGTTCTGCTTATTGGGGTTCATTTTGGTCACACAGCGTATTGCTGTTGAAGTGGACAGCCAAGAGAGTACGCAACTCACACCCCCCTTCTCTCCCCTCCCTCATACTCCAACCCATCCTGTCCCATAGTCCCATCCATTACGGACATCCTTCCCATCTCGTAATCCCAGCCGGCCCATCCCATCCTGGGCCGTCCATGCTGCAGTACCATCACGTCATCGTTCCATCTGCCCCATCTTATCATCTGATCCTCCCCTTCCCATCCACCCCATCCACCCCATCATCCCATCATCCTGTCACTTTCATCCCATCCATCCCGTTCATCCCGTCCATCCCATCTAATCCCTCCCTCCCATGTCATCATCCCATCTGCATCCCACTTCGTCAGATTCATCGAATCCCATTCAATCATATTCCATCCACTCCCATTCAATCATTCCATTCACTCCCATCCCACCACCTGATGCATCCTATCCCACCAACCATCCATACCACCCCATCACTAATGGTTAATAACTTAATAGGTGGTGTCGTTTTGGGCGAATTTTCCCCCGAAACTGCCATTTCTTGAATTTTAGCTTTTTTTCTTGTTTTTTTTTTTTTTTTTGTGTGTGTGTGATATGTATGTGCTTTAGGGTATTATATAGTGCTTTTGAGTTTTTTCTATTTCTTTTTTATTTGCCTGTTTTTTTTTTTTTTATGTTTGTATTATGAGCCTGCATTGTCTATTTGCGAAATTTTCAAGGACTTCGCTTGTGGTGATGCGGCGAAAACCCCGAATTTTGGGCCTTCCATTAACCATCTCTTGTCCCATCCAATCACCACATGCCATCCCACCCCATCCTATCATCTCATCAATCCCATCTAGTCAACCCATCCATCCTATCACAAACAGAGAGAGAGAGAGAGGAAAAGAGAGAGAGAGAGAGAGAGAGAGAGAGAGAGAGAGAGAGAGAGAGAGAGAGAGAGAGAGAGAGAGAGAGAGAGA